ATTGCTTAGGATATTATGTGCTTAAAAATTTTAAATCCATTACCTTTTTTTGTTCATTTCTTTACAAAACAAGCTAAAGAATAATGATAAAATAGGTTATTTTTGACAAGTGAAATAATAAACAAACATTTTCAATTATAAATATTCCTATTTTATGTCATATCTTTTATACTCGAATACAGTGCGTGCTTTTTTCGATCTGTTTTTACGCAAAAAAACGGGGGTCGCACAATACACAGGTAAATTTATCTGTAGTAGTTAAAATTCATTCATTTTGGTGACAGTCTCCTGTCTGTTAGGCCTACATTCCTTTGGCTAATCTTAACTGTTCAGGTAAGATCCCTTTGCCGGCCACCCCTAGCCTAGATTCTTTCTTTCTGTTGTATCTAAGTCTTCCTATCAGATATTTTACGGTAAGTGGTTTTTCTCGCCATTTTGAGGCAGCTTTGTACAAAAAAGAATCTACAAATACCTTATATAAATGAGCAATTAACAACTAGCAACACATCACAGCACACACTTAAACAACCTCATTTTCTATCAAAATAAAGCAAAACTCAACATAAAAGAGTACTTTTTGCTTAGAATGACTTGAATTATCATAACCCGAACTATGTCTCTAAACTCGTGGGACACCCTGCATTATGTACCGATAATCCTGACCAAAAGTTTATCCTTGGAAAGGCAATACCTCAGCAATGTCAACTCTTGCGAAACAAAGATGAATGCAAATTTGAGAGTGAAAAAAATCTATTAATTCCTCATTTATATAAGATATTTTTTTTAATTTTTAAGTGGCATTTATAGTTGCCCCTATTAGTTACGTGCTAATACTCTTGGGAAAGGTTTGAATCCTCTTCTTCTCCCACCCACCCAGCTATGGGTAAATAGCAGGACAGACCGGTTTCTATAGACTTGGATGGCAACTGGTCTACCGCAGAAAGAAATGGCAACCTACTGCGGAAAAAAATCTGCCGTCAGTCATGTATCGAAAGACACATGATCGCCTAAGCGTGTATCACGCATGGCACATAACTGACTGAACTGGACTTCATTTGATGGAATCCTGTTTTTCTTACGGACAGCTCTATGTTGGTTGTTCAATGGCTGGGAATGAAAACAAGCTATTTGTACTGACCCCTAATGGGATTTTTTTATTTTAATTTTCATCATACTACTATAATCCATTACATTTACTTACGTGCTAATACCCTTGGGAAAGGTATGATGAATCCTCTTCTTCTCCCCACCTTAGCTATGAGTAAATAGCAGGACAAACCGGGTTCTATAGCCTTGGATGGCAACTGGTTTACCGCAGAAAGACATGGCAAACTACTGCGGGAAAAATCAGGCTCGTCAGTCATGTATCGAAAGATACATGATCGCCTAAGTGTGTATCACACATGGCACATAACTGCATTCCTCACGGACAGCTCGGTTGTTCAATGGTTGGGAATGGAAACAAGCTACTTGTACTGACCCCTAATGGGATTTTTAATTTTAATTTTCATCATACTACTATAATCCATTACATTCACTTACGTGCTAATACTCTTGGGAAAGGTATGATGAATCCTCTTCTTTTTGAAGCTATGGGTAAATAGCAGGACATACCGGGTTCTATAGCCTTGGATGGCAACTGGTCTACTGCAGAAAGAAACGGCAACTTAATGCGGGAAAAAATCTGCCTCATCAGTCATGTATCGAAAAGATTCATGATGGCCTAAGCGTGTATCACGCATGGCACACAACTGACTACTAGTATTGCTCAGAATCAGGAATCGCATTATACATAAGGTATGTGAAAATATCAGGTCTTTTTACAAAAAAATTCAAAATACATGAAGTTGGATTATACATGTGTATACAGGGTGCGATGGGTAAATTGTCGCCATTTTGTATTTTATTTTTCCTTTCGCATATGCGCGTTGTTTATTTTTATTTTGTCGACAGGTAAGCTCCTCCTTTAACCTGACTCTCATAGTAAAAAAAAAGTTGTCATTGGGAATCAATACCTCAGTGATGTAAACACTTGCGGAACAAAGATGAATGCAAATTTAAGATAGGAAAAAATCAATTAATTCTTCATTTGTATAAGATGTTTGTTGATTTTAAGTGGGATACAAAGTGAATGAGGTTTTGTTCTTCGTGTAACGAAAATAGGGCAGAAACTTAGGCTACGTAGGGGGGCGGGCCCAGGGTGTAGGAGTCGCCGCAGTCAGGCATGAACGAAAACAAAAGTATGGCATCTAAATATCAGATATTTTACTGTAAGTGGTTTTTCTCACCATTTAGGGGTTGCTTTGTATGAGAAAGAATGAAGGCCATTTATTGGCTATAAAATATGACCAGTATGATGCCCAGTACTGCAATATTTAACTACAGTAGGACAAGAGGGAGAGATGAAAACAATGCATAACCTACTTAGAGAGCTTGAGTAAATGGATGGCGGAACAAGGCTTAGGAGAAATAACAGAAAGAAAATATTTATTAAGAGCTATAAGGAACAGGAAGTTGTGGAGAGTCATGATCACCTACGTCGTGAAGGGACACGGTACATAGAAGTAGTAATGTACAAATTCATGAACATTATTATTATTATTATTAAAATCTGATACTGACAAGACAGATTGACTGCAGGAGGAACAGAGGGAAACAAGGCATAACATACTTAGTGAGCTTGAGAAAATGGATGGCGGAATAAGGTTTAGGAGAAATAACAACAAGACAACATTTATTGAGAGCTACAAAGGACAGAAAATTGTGGAGAGCCATGATCGCCTACGTCCTGAGAGACATACAGAAGAAGGCCTGCTAGTATTGCTCAGTTGCTGGGGTCCTATTACACACGAACTATATGAAAAGAAAATCAGGTTTTTCACAAAAAAATCAGATGTCGGACGATGCATGAAGCTTATACGCGATTATATACAGCCGTCTTTTTTATTTGGAGACAATGGGGACAAATCATTTTTAGTTAAATTGCCATAAAAAAATATGTTGTATATCTGACAGAATATGCAATCAGGATATATATATTTAGTTTTTTTCCCCACCAAACAAGATTTTAATATCAAGCTGTATATTTCAACTGGTTGTAGGATGAGTAGCCTTTTAAGATGTTAACGAACTGTTCACTCCGACATCCAGTGTAAAATTCATATGATCGTTCCTTGTCCTGGTAGAGGGCTTGCGTGTTCCAGTGATGCCAAGAACGAAGCGGTCAGGATTTCCAACTCCTGTAGGATCACCCATGGCGGTAAGCTTGAGGAGGAGGGACTAGACTGATTGCGAGCAACCCCCGAAGACGGCCGGCGGAAGAGGGCAACGCCAGTTGAGCTGGAGTAAGCAAGGCGGACCATGACAGACCAAGCACCCGACAGCCCAATGCAATCAAATTTGCCAGGTATCACCCGTCTCAACCCCATTTTGAGTCGCGAAAGAGGCGCTTCTGGCGAAGTGTGTGGGCTTCTCCGTCGCGCAGAGTTGTCCATCAAAATCAATTTCATGCGAATGCCCTAGACAAAATCTCTCTGATTCACAGACATCTCCGTCACCAGTTGTGGAGGGGGGGAGAGAAAAGGAATAGAGAGAGAGGATGACGATCCCGATGCTCGGAGGCGAGCGAGGGTGCCGACGACGAAACTTAAGAATTCAAAATTCTGTAATGTAATGAAGGTTAACTTTTAATGAACTACCAGAGCAATAATTCCTATAGATTTTTTCGAATTGTATCGAAGAAGAGAAAACATTTGTTGTTTATGGAAGACAACAAACAGATAATTATCGCCTAAAAATTTAATACAAATAATATGAAACTTGCTTCTTGTTATTTTAATATTTACGATCGACTGAAAAATATTTTCTTCAGATCAAAGACGAAATGGCGATAAGCATCTGTGAGAAATAGTCATAGTTTCTCAAAATGATTTCAACCGATTTTTATCAAAGTTTAAATTTGAAAGCAAAGAGAAAATATTTTCTGTAATTTATAAATGCATAAAAACAATGTCAGAACTGTATAATACACTTCACACACAAACATACACGTATATTATCTATACAAATCAACAATTCGCCCTTGCATGGAGTATTGCTGTCATATATGATCTGGGGCCCCGTCTGTCTCGGGGTTCTTGATAAGCTCCAGAGGCGGATATGCAATATAATTGGCCCTGTTCTGGCATCTCGTCTACAGTCGCTCTCTCACAGTCGCCACGTCGCCTCTCTCTGTCTTTTTTACAAATACTTTCATGGTAATTGCTCCGAGGAGCTGCATTCGCTGGTTCCAAGACTTCACGAATCCAAGCGCCCTACGAGACTGGCATCCCGCTCTCACCCCTTCACTGTCGAAACTCCTAAATGTAGCCGTCTCTTCTACTCCAATAGCTTCATACCTCGCACCTCTCGCCTATGGAACTCCCTTCCTTATTCCAGTTTCCCTGAGAGCTATAATCTCCAGCTATTCAAATGTAATGTCAATCGACATCTCCAGTTGCCTTGATCTATCCACTATCCTTCTCCTCGTCCTTTCCTCTATCATTCCTATCTGATCTTGCTCCAAATCTTCTGTAACCCCTTGCGTCCCAGTAGCTTCCCGCCTTGCTTGGGGTGAAACGCTTTAAAAAAGAAAAAAAAAAAACTATTGTATATATTGTACCTATGTATGGAATGTGTCACGCCTTGTATCACAAATACTGAGAGCGAACCAGAAAGAGAGAGGAACATAGAGAGTATAACAGAAAGAGAGAGGGGGGCGTAGGGGGGACAAAATGCAAGAGAGATTGGAGTCAGGTTATCATTAGATAAATTCAGTTGTTTGTGGTGACGAATTAAATCATGTTTTATGACCTAACGATTTTGTTGAGGAGAAATTCGCCCCTAAACTGCAAGTGACCTTTTGAAATAAAAAAATATCTTTCTTTAATAATTAAAACAATTTTGTAATGTAATAAAAATAGATGATGTTCTTCGAATCAAAAGTCATATTCAACCCAGACTGTGTTGAGTGTCTGGGGGGGGGGGAGATAGATAGATAGATAGATAGATAGATAGATAGATAGATAGATAGATAGATATAGGGGCATAGAAAATAAAACAAAGAGAGAGAGAGAGAGGAAGAGAGAGGGGGTCGTAAAGAGACAAAAAGTGAATACGAAACAGAGAGGAAATAGAGGGGGACATTTTACACAAAGGCACTTGTTTATAGTGGGGGTTTCGCGAGCTGGCAATCTGCTGAGGACATTTCGATATTTTTAGAGAGACTACGTCATTTTTCTTGAAACTATCTGGGAATGGTCATTGATTGAAGAGTGCAGTATTAAAAAATGTATTATTAAATCCATGTAATTTACATTGGTCCTGCTAGTTATTATTATTATTATTACTACATACATACATACATATATGGCCAAGTGCCTAGAATGTTCGTCTTCTGATCATGAGACCCGTGTTCGAATCTCTCACCTAGGTCGATTTGCCATGGTGTCTTCTTAGTAATATCGGCCTGTGGAGGCGATTCAAGCGCGCGGTCCCTTCGGAAAATGCCTGAAAAAAATACCACGGGTTAACGCAAGTCTTGGAGTCAAGTTAAATTGGATAGAGGGAACTGTGCGGAAGACATCGATGGTTGTGCGAGCACGAAGTCACAAGTCATCGTGACCGAGGGTTTGAACGTTTCTAGCCTCGTTCAACAGATTGATCTCGCCAGATTATGCCCTCTCTCCCGGAAACTGTAACCAAAGTTTGCTCATAATAGTTGCTGTAATAGTGATTATATATATATATATATATATGAATAAAAATGACAATAGGAAAACTGGTAATTGCTGACATTGGACGAAACGCGTCAACAATTACCAGTTTTCCTATTGTCATTTTTATTCATAAGTATTGTCTTCTCTACTGGTTAAATCGGAGAAATTTTCATATATATATCTATATATATGTATATATATATATATATATGCTAGCTCTTGATTGATTGGCTCTTGGGCTTGTGCAGGAGATTGAAAGTCACTAAGTCTTTCCATATTCTCAGCATTGGAAGCTCTCCTGGTTGCGGCTGTCTGTTTCATGGTTCAATGCAATTTTCTGGCCATCCTGGATGTAAGTATGAAAATGTAATATACGAGGCAACTATCTTTCCCGAGGAAAATATAAACGAGAAAAAAAGATACATAGGAATATCCGCCGGTGATTGGAAGCAGCGTCTATACAACCATAGACGCTCATTTAGATATAGATGCCTCAGTAGACAGACTTCCTTATCCAAACACTACTGGGAACTGGTGGATAAGGGATTAAACCCAATTTTGAAATGGAGATACCTATCAAGAGCCAGAACATCTAATAACTTCCGCGATCGGTTTGATCTGTGCATGGCGGAAAAAATCTTCATTATCAAAGATAAGAATCGAGATGAGCTGCTGAATCTTCGGAATGAGATATTTTCTAAATGTAGACATAAGAAACGATTCAAAATATGAACACCGTTTTGTAACATGTTGTCACTTATGTCAGTTCCATCTTAGTCCAATAACATCGGGCATGACATTTTAATGGAATGGCTATTATGTTTATTATGTTTATCCGCTATATGTATCATTGTGTAAACAATGACAACATATTGATAATGGATTAAATCCGACAAACAGTTTAATATATTTTCTGTTTATCTATTAAAATAACACATAAACAGAAAATATATTAACCCGACAATATTTTTGATTACCTATTTAAGAAATGCATAGCTCTCGGTGGGGCCGTTTCAAGTTTATATCGGCTTGGTTTATTTTCAGATTCAATCAATTAATAGATCTTTTCAGTCAACCATTATTATTATTATTATTATTATTCTATAATGAAAATAACTGAAAATCTCTCTCTCTTTCTCTCTCTCTCTCTCTAAATACATGGAATTAATAAAAATTCCAATCATTACCAAAACACCATAATTCTACATTCTTTTGAATAAAATCTCATTTTTTAATTCCGTATGCAAAAGGAAAAAAAAGATTTATATACATAACTTAAAATCCACACACACACACACACACACACACACATATATATATATATATATATATATATATATATATATATATATATATATATATATATAACCTTACCAACAATCCCTTGAGAGAATTTGGAAATATTTCATATATTTCCCAGATTTTTGGTATGTTTCTCTAAATTTGTGCGAATTATTTTCATTCCTTACATGATGACAAAAAAAAAATATCAAATAGAAATGTCTTCGGAAAAAGAATTGACCAATATTTGTATAATGATCCTATTTGTGGAACAATACCTACATTACATAACAACTTTTAACGTCAATCATTTCAGTGTGTATTATGTAATATACACAAGCACACACACACACATACGCACACACACACACGCACGCATACACACACTCACACACACACACACACACATATATATATATATATATAGTGGAAATCAACTCGTGTCCGAATACGACCAATTTCATGACATTACACTTGACTTCCTTGCCGCCAATAACTTCTCTGGTGATTCATTATTCCAGCGAGTGGCCTACACTTTAAACCTCATGTTCTGGAAGTAAGTTTACCAATTGTTGCATTAGTATCACGGTGCCGTGTAAGTCCACTCGCTAACTTGCACACTTTGTTGCATAGATTGCGAGTGAAATCAAGCTGGGTATCATAATAATAGATTGTGTTGTTATGGCGACGTACCGACGTGTGCAACTAATCAAGCCAGCCTTTGAAAGGCAACCACGCCCACATTCCCTACAGGTGAGAGTCTTTTTAGTACCTTTTCCTGGAAGGAGGCTTACGTTATCCATATAGCGAGTCCTACCTTTCTCAATACGAGATAACATTGTCTATGCCGAAGAAGAAACTATTGGTATAGAACTTACGGTTACAAATAGTAATTTCAACAGTGAAATTACGAAGCATGCTAATTTGATAACTCGCTTAAATTTGTGAAGTCGGGGCACCAAAGAGGAAAGCTCATCAAAACAATTACAATGATAATATGTATAGAAAAGACACGGGGAGGCTATGTTACAACGGTGGGAGGTGATTGAAGCCGAGATACCAGGTCAGAACCAATAACATTGCAGATTATTATATAATTGTTAATACGGCGAAAATAATGATCCCGCATCTTAATCTTGAAAATCTAAAATAATATGTCTGGAGACCGAGGTTATAAAGAAGAGTTCTAAGAAAAAAATCATAAAGAGAAAAATAAATGAAGAAAAGTAATGAGGTACACTTTGTTTAGATAGGTCTGATTTGATTGATTTTTACGGCTTATCAACACTTTGTATGTTATTTAAAGCCGAAGCGTATTTTTGTATTATGAGAACAATTCTTTTGTTTTTTGTTGTTGTTTTTTTTTTTGTTTTGTTTTTTTTGCGAGTGTATACTAACGATGTATATTAACCATTGCGGCTGTATATTATCCATTTTTTGGAGATAGTAATAATTTTCAGATTCAAGTCTTACTATTTAATCCATAGATGGGGTGAAAAGAGGTCAATTCATAACTTTCCCTAGGGTATTTGCGCGTAAGTGAACCCGACTAAAATTCGTACATGGCTCTCCGACTTCTCATTCCGAGACGTTATCCATTACACCACTCATACATCCAATCTTACAGCATCTGGTATTCCTAAGCGGTCAACCATATATAAGTACTGACGTTGCTTAACTTCGGTGATCGTACGAGAACCGGTGTTTCAACGTGATACGGCCGTAAGCCTTTGTCAAGATAGGAAAAAAATCTCTGATGAGGAAATATCACAAATCTAGCTTGTGTGTAGAAACAGAGAAAATAAGAGTTTCATTAATAATATTTTTGATAAGATTATGTTTTAATTTATTTGATATGGCCAGATGTAACCGTAAGTTCTATGCTAACAGTTTCTTCTCACGCACTTCTCGCTTGTTGAACTCTGTTCCGGCTTCTTGCTTTCCCAATCATCTTTGATCCTCAAAAATTTAAATGCAATGTCAATCGTTATCTACTGTCTCTTATTTATTGTTTTTTTTCCTCCTTAATAACGTTTTCTTTATTATATTCTTTCACACTCAGTAACCCCCTGTGTCTCAGTGGCTTTGTTGCCTTGCTTGAGCTGAAATGATTAAAAGAAATATCTTAAAATAAGGCATATTCAGCATATGGTAATGAAATAAATCACATCACAATTCCCATAACACATAGGGTCGTAGGATGATCACACGTACATTGCAGATTCTTATATAATTGTTAATACGGGAAAAAAATTAAGACCCCGCACCTTAACTGTCTTGAAAATCTAAAATAATATGGCTGGAAACCGATTTTATAAAGAATAGTTCTAAGAAAAAAATCATAGGAAGAAAGATAAATGAAGCATTAGTAGGCAAGATAGCCTGACGGAGCCCATCCCTCTTCAGTCTGGTTTATGTATTCACAGTTTTCCTTCTCCTAAATTGGTTGCCACTCAAAACAAGAGGACCAGTTTGCCCTGCTGTTTAAACAAGATTTACGCATTTCCCAAAGGCGAAGTGAATGAATAAAAATCGATCAACATTTGAACTCGCTTTGCTAATTCCACTTCCCTTGCCAATAACCATGAGACTATCCCCACACCCTAATGAAACAAGCAAGATTTTAATAAACTATTTTAATAAAATAAAATGTTGCTTTAATTACTATAAATTAAGTAAGATTTGGTAACATTTAGCTTATAAAAAAAGCTACATCAGCTTAGAATCAAGATGTATGGTTATTAGCAAAAGGAACAACCGAAGATGTGATCTACGAATTTGATATAACTAACATCAAGCAAGTCTTCTATGTGTCGTGTTCCTTTAGAACGTCGGCGAACGTGGCTCTCCACAATTTCCCGTTCTTTGTAGCTCTTAATAAATTTTGTCTTTTTGTTATTTCTCCTAAACCTTGTTCCGCCATCCATTTACTCAAGCTCTCTAAGTTATGTGTTGTTTTCCACTGCCCACTCTGTCCTGTGAGTATCAGATTTTCCAAGCCCTCTTTCCTAGAGCCCTAGAGATTTCAACTGTCTCTTCCTGATGTTAAATATGTTTCCTTTTTGTTTGTATTTTCTTTAAAACTTCGTCGCTGCTCATATGTTTGATCCATGGTATCCTCAGCATCCTTCTGTAGAACCACACTAA